CTCTCTCTCTCTCTCTCTCTCTCTCTCTCTCTCTCTCTCTCTCTCTCGCTCTCGCTCTCTCGCTCTCTCTCTGCCAAATTCTCTCTGTTTCATAGGGACCTCATCAAGCCTGCTCCACCATTCCATAAGATCATGGCCGACCCCCTACCCATGTGCCATATTCCTTGATATCTTTAATCCCTAAAAACCTGTCAATGTCAATCTTGAATGTTTTCACTGCTGGAGCCTCCACTGCTGCAGAGAATTCCAAAGTTTCTCCCACCTCCCGAATCGAGACATTACCCTTCCTGTCAACCCTAGGTAGCCTACTCCTTATCTGGGATGTGTCCCCTGGTTCAAGACGCCCCCCACCCAGGCAGGGGAACCACCCTTTCCACACGCACCCTGTTGGGGCCTGGAAGATGTGTATGTTACAATGAAATCACATCTCCTTTTATCAAAACTCTAGGGAATACAGACTTAGCTTCCTCAATTTCTCCTCGCAGGACAGTTCTTTCATTCAGGAATTAGTATGGTGAACCTCCTTTGTGCTCCCTCCAAGGCAAATATATCTTTCAATCAGGAGACCGAGCCTGTGCAGAATAGTCAGGCTACAGTTTCACCAAGACCGCGTACAGCTGCTGCATAACATCTTCACTCCCTGACTCTCATCCCCTTGCAATTAAGGCTAACACACCATTTGTCTTCTGACTGTTTGCTTATACCTGCCTGCTAGTGACTCAGGGACAGGGGCACCCAGGTCCCTGTGCATACCCGCAATCTGCAAGGAAGGATGTTGTTAGACTTGAAAGGGTTCAGAAAAGATTTACAAGGATGTTGGAGGGTTTGAGCTACAGGGAGAGGCTGACCAGGCTGGGGCAGTTTTCCCTGGAGCGTCGGAGGCTGAGGGGTGACTTTACAGAGGTTTATAAAATCATGAGGGGCGTGGATAGGGTGAATAGACAAAGATGGGGGAGTCCATAACTAGAGGGGTATAGGTTTAAGGTGAGAGAGGAAAGATTTAAAAAGGACCTCAGGGGCAACATTTTCACACAGAGGGTGGTGCGTGTATGGAACGAGCTGCCAGAGGAAGTCGTGGAGGCTGGTACAATTACAACATTTAAAAGGCATCTGGATGGATACATGAATAGGAAGGGTTTAGAGGGATATGGGCCAAATGCTGGCAAATGGGACTAGATTAATTTAGGATATCTGGTCGGCATGGACATGTTGGGCCGAAGGGTCTGTTTCCGTGCTGTACAGCTCTATGGCTCTAAACCCGCACAATCAAGAAGCATTGCTTGTTCCATAACTGTTAAGCCACCATTCTAAAAGATTCGTTCTGTCTCCGTATACAGTTTTGTATTCTTTCTAGGCATCACCCCAGGAATATGTTTCAAATGCCTATTTGCTATTGGGAGGGTTAGCACTGTAGCTTTGTTTGAAATGTCTGACATTTACCATAGCAATGATTCCACAGCTAGCAAAGGTGGGAGCAGTGCTGAACTATTGCCTGTTGTTTTGAGCAAATTATAGAAATTGCAAATGCATCACATTGTGCAGAGACACCAGAATGCTGGAGATGATGGACACTATAGCTAGGCGGAAACTTTAAACCATAAGAAATAGGGTCACCACCAGGTCATTTTGGCCCCTTGGGTCTGCTGCATCATTAAACAGGATCATGGCTGGTCTAATATTTTTCATATTCACTTTCCTGCATTATCCCCATATCCTTTTGTTTCCCTGACTGACCAACAATCTATCTGTCTCAGCCTTTAGCAGGACTCTGCCTCCACAGCTCTCTGTGGCAAGGAGTTCCAAAGACTCTCAACCCTCAGAGAAGAAATTCGTCCTCATTTCAGCCTTAAATTGGTGCCCCGTTTATTCTGAGATGATGCCGTCTGGTCCTGGACCCTCCCATGAAGGGAAACGTCCTCTCAGCGTTTACCTTGTCAAGCCCCTTAAGAATCCTGTATGTTTCGATGAGATCACCTGTCATTCTTCTAAGCTCCAGTGAGTAGAGTCCCAACCTGTTTAACCTTTGCTGATAAAACAATCCCTCCACACTGGGATTCGTCCTAGTGAACTTTCTCTGAACTGGCTGCAGTGAAATAATATCTGTCCTTAAATAAGGGACCAAAACTACTCCCAGTGCTCCAGATGTGGTCTCACCAGCACCTTGTATGGTGACAGTGAGTTACTGTTGTACTGCAGCCCCCTTGAAATAAGGGCCAACATTCCATGACCCTTCCCGATTACCTGCTGCCCCGTGTGCTAGCTCTCTGTGTTTCGTGCACACATTCCCCTGAGTTTTTTAACCCTTGAGGGGCCTTAGTTAGGGGCATGTCAGAAGGCTGGCTGATGGGACTTCGCACGCAGAAATTGACTGATGAGCTGCTTTGAGGGGTGAGAATCTCTGGTGCTGACCTGACCAATTATTAGCCCTTCCCATCAGATGTCCTGTTACGTCTGGAGAGGAGAAAATTCTGCCCATGTTTCAAAACTCTATTACTTTAATCAGAAATCTTTTATTCTGAAAAAACCCGGTCCGCGTGGACGGGTTGGACTGAAGGGGGTCGCTTTCTGTGCTGTACATCTCTATGACTCTAAAGCTCTCTCTGCACTGTCACCCCATCAAAGACTCCCAGAACAGGGTTAGATACAGAGTAAAGCTTCCTCTACACTGCCCCCCCCATCAAACATTCCCAGGACAGGGCAGCACGGGGTTAGATACAGAGTAAAGCTCTCTCTACACTGTCCCTCCCATCAAACTCTCCCAGGACAGGGCAGCACGGGGTTAGATACAGAGTAAAGCTCTCTCTACGCTGTCCCTCCCATCAAACACTCCCAGGAACAGGGACAGCACGGGGTTAGATATAGAGTAAAGCTCCCTCTACACTGTCCCCCATCAAACACTCCCAGGACAGGGACAACATGGGATTAGATACAGAGTGAAGCACTCTGTGTACACCGACCCTAATCGCCAGTGAAATGTTGAGGAGAACAGTCGATCCTGGATATATGCAGGACAGACAACCTTCCTCCTCATGTCCTTTTGAAGGTCATGTTTTGCAGTGACAGACTGTAGCCACAAGAGGCTTCATGTGGGTTTGGGCTGTCTCACAGTCTCTCTCACACGCAGACTCTTTCTCAACTCCCCCCCGCCGCCCCCCTGTTTTTCCCCTCGCCTACACCTTCTACCTCTCGTGTAGTCCCTCACAGGGCTCACAGACACTCTCACACATTGACAGTGCCTGTGCCTCCCATATTGCTGTCACTCTCCCGATTTCAGTACTGAGACTCAAAGTTTAGGCAGCAATCTGTAGCTCGGGTTGAGGGTGAGGTTGTTGACTTGCTCGCCGAGCTGGCTTGTTCCCGTTCACACATTTCGTCACCATGCTAGGTAACATCATCAGTGGAGCCTCCAATGAAGCAATGTTATTCTACTCCGTTTGGAATTCATACTGTCCGATCCATTATGGTGAGTGGTTGAGTACTCGGAAACGTGCTGTAGGCCTGTGAATTGATCAGGGAAGGGAGCTGTAGTTAGTTACCCAGCTGCTGCTGTTCTTGTGGCCTGGTCAGACACTGCCTGTGGTGCTGTCAGGGTGTCCTATAACCAGCAGCTGTTTCTGTTCCCTGGCAGGGGGTGGGCTCATCATTAAGATCCTGAAGAGAACCGCCGTGTTCGAGGACAAAGACACCAGCCCTGGGCCTCCCCTGGCACAGAGCATTAAACTGAGCATCCCAAAGAAAACCAAGCTGTACGTGGATCAGACGCTGAGGGAACGAGAGAACGCTGTGGGTGAGTAGACCAGCAACGCCCAGCCATTTCTGCAGCGTGACCGAGGGAGGGTGTTGTAACAGATGCCAGACCCGTGTCCGAATCCCTGGACCCGTTGTCTCTGGGAGCCTGGAGTGACAGGGTATATGTGTTCACAGTGTGCTATTCTATTGTAGGGGCATTGTGCCATTGGAGCTTTCTGAGCGCAAGCTGGAGTGGAACACTCTCTCGTACAGGGCATTTGCAGCAGAACATTTATCGAGCTTTGTATACTTCACTGAGACAGCACACTGCAGCACCCAGTCTACAGGGTCTGCTTAAACCGCCCCCAGTCTACAGGGTCTG